CCTGTACCACCAGATTTGTGCAGTCATTGTTATATTTTCTCAACTGAACTACCAGATCTGGGCATTCATTGTAGCATTTTCTCACTTGTGCACCTTCTTGTGCTTTTATCAATATTCGCTTTGTTCTGTGAGATGTGGCAGTTTACTAGACATAGGTAGCCGAGCCTGGGCCCGCTCGGGTGACACTAGAAGACATGTATTCTAGAAACACGCAGAGAAAAAATGGCTACTTACTGTTGCCGTCGCCTGCCGGAACTGTCATGTGTGGACAGAAACAAGGACGAATTAATCAAAGGCACAGATTTTATACAAGAATGTGTTATTACACTCACTTTCCTATCCAGGTGTGAATTAAAACATATGCCCACCTTCATGCTGATCAACTCGTGTCCTTCTTTTCTGGCACCATACCTTCTACTATTACTCTTTCCAATCTACTATGGCTCTTGATGGGATAGAACATTTCAGTTTCCGAGTAGCGATGTTTGTGACGGCAATTTTCCATGATGTTTAGATCTTTAGCAATATCAGTAGTTTTGTTCTTTTCTATAGCATTTCAGCTGGAACGGTCACGTTTTCGTCCTGAAGGACTTAGAGATAGTCCACGACTCACATTAAAATGTTGCTACAGGAAAGATGCATGGGGAGATAGTCCACGACTCACATCCAAATGTTGCTAGAGGGATGATGCACGGGAAGATAGTCTACGACTCACATCCAAATGTTGCTAGAGGGAAGATGCATGGGGAGATAGTCCACGACTCACATCCGAATGTTGGTACAGGGAAGATGCAGGCGCCTTTAACATTTGGATGTCCCTACTGGTGCTAAACAATGACTTTTCAGGATGTTTTATATTGTTATGATACAACACTAAACGATATTATACAACATTATATTACAATAAGATAAAGATATGCATCAACTGAACATTGCAGGTCTGAGAACACTACAACCAGTCAAGATAGATTTATGTAGACAGACACGATGTGAGGCAGTAAGGCTGACAGACATACAAACAGAAAGGTAGACTTGTAGGTAGATGGATAAATGAATGAATGGATAAATGAATAGACGGAAGGATAGACAGACGGAGGGACGGACGGACGCACAGACAGACAAACGGACAGACAGACAGACGGACAGATGGACAGACAGACCGACACACCGACTGAAAGACATACAGACAGGTAGATAAACAGACAGACAGACACACATATGGATAGAGGGATAAATAGACAGAAAGATAAATAGATAGATAGATAGATAGATAGATAGATAGATAGATAGATAGATAGATAGATAGATAGATAGATAGATAGATAGATAGATAGATAGATAGATAGATAGATAGATAGATAGATAGATAGATAGATAGATAGATAGATAGATAGATAGATAGATAGATAGATAGATAGATAGATAGATAGATAGATAGATAGATAGATAGATAGATAGATAGATAGATAGATAGATAGATAGATAGATAGATAGATAGATAGATAGATAGATAGATAGATAGATAGATAGATAGATAGATAGATAGATAGATAGATAGATAGATAGATAGATAGATAGATAGATAGATAGATAGATAGATAGATAGATAGATAGATAGATAGATAGATAGATAGATAGATAGATAGATAGATAGATAGATAGATAGATAGATAGATAGATAGATAGATAGATAGATAGATAGATAGATAGATAGATAGATAGATAGATAGATAGATAGATAGATAGATAGATAGATAGATAGATAGATAGATAGATAGATAGATAGATAGATAGATAGATAGATAGATAGATAGATAGATAGATAGATAGATAGATAGATAGATAGATAGATAGATAGATAGATAGATAGATAGATAGATAGATAGATAGATAGATAGATAGATAGATAGATAGATAGATAGATAGATAGATAGATAGATAGATAGATAGATAGATAGATAGATAGATAGATAGATAGATAGATAGATAGATAGATAGATAGATAGATAGATAGATAGATAGATAGATAGATAGATAGATAGATAGATAGATAGAAATGTAATGAAATATAGGCAGAAAGGGGTTAAATGAACAAGCATACATTTCAGACCACCACACGGCGTACTAATCCATCACTGTGTGAAATGACAGAATGGGTGATTAGAAAGCCATGGCCTAGCCAGCTATGCAGAACACACCGCCATGACATCTGACAGTGAGGGATGAAACATTCGACGAGTGCCCGTGAGCTGTGACCAGCTGACGAGTTACATTCATCCAAACGTGACCACCAAGGACAGGTGACAGGGGAGTGATTAAGATGGTACGCCAGGAGGAGCGGGAAAGCGGTGGGATAAAGTCAGAGCCAGGAGCTAGAACGGTTAGTTAGGCCCGGAACCGCTGGAGAGGACAGTTAGCCCCGGAACCGCCATAAGAAGACAGTTAGGGCTAGACCGCTAGAGAAACCGGTTAGGAGAAAACTAGTGCTTTACTTCGTTTAGAAGGTATATGTTAAACTTGGAGTTTAGCCAGAACAGTGGTTAAGGAACTCGTAGAGGCATACGAATAGCCAGTAATAAGGAGTGATCATATACTATTGCTTGTTGAATTTATGAAATGTGTGTGACGAGAATATTATGAATAAACCAGCTCTTATGTAATTGATTACATCACTGGCCTTGTTCTTGAGTACGATTGAAGAGAGATACGAACTATATTCATTCCACTTGGCCGACTTAGGCACATCTATTTCTTGGGGGATGTATAGGCACGACTGTGCCACAGATAGATAGATAGATAGATAGATAGATAGATAGATAGATAGATAGATAGATAGATAGATAGATAGATAGATAGATAGATAGATAGATAGATAGATAGATAGATAGATAGATAGATAGATAGATAGATAGATAGATAGATAGATAGATAGATAGATAGATAGATAGATAGATAGATAGATAGATAGATAGATAGATAGATAGATAGATAGATAGATAGATAGATAGATAGATAGATAGATAGATAGATAGATAGATAGATAGATAGATAGATAGATAGATAGATAGATAGATAGATAGATAGATAGATAGATAGATAGATAGATAGATAGATAGATAGATAGATAGATAGATAGATAGATAGATAGATAGATAGATAGATAGATAGATAGATAGATAGAAAGATAGATAGATAGATAGATAGATAGATAGATAGATAGATAGATAGATAGATAGATAGATAGATAGATAGATAGATAGATAGATAGATAGATAGATAGATAGATAGATAGATAGATAGATAGATAGATAGATAGATAGATAGATAGATAGATAGATAGATAGATAGATAGATAGATAGATAGATAGATAGATAGATAGATAGATAGATAGATAGATAGATAGATAGATAGATAAGATAGATAGATAAGATAGATAGATAGATAGATAGATAGATAGATAGATAGATAGATAGATAGATAGATAGATAGATAGATAGATAGATAGATAGATAGATAGATAGATAGATAGATAGATAGATAGATAGATAGATAGATAGATAGATAGATAGATAGATAGATAGATAGATAGATAGATAGATAGATAGATAGATAGATAGATAGATAGATAGATAGATAGATAGATAGATAGATAGATAGATAGATAGATAGATAGATAGATAGATAGATAGATAGATAGATAGATAGATAGATAGATAGATAGATAGATAGATAGATAGATAGATAGATAGATAGATAGATAGATAGATAGATCTTACTTTCACACAACCGTCTGGCCACTCGCTGCTCGATCTTCACTAAGTTAGCGAAGCTGTCCGCCGTGAAGACATTCTCAGAACTGCTGGCGATGTTGTACAGCTCCCACCCCAGCCCACTGCCGATGCCCACGGAGATCACGTGGTACAGACTGTGCAGAGAATCGGCCGCAGTTTTTGCTGGGATAAAAAAACGAATCATGGTTAGACTTGTCTGCCGATAGATGTTCATTTACTGATTTCTGTAAAAGTTCATTACCTGATGTAGAGGTTCACTAACTGATGTCTGTAGAGGTTCCCTAACTGATGTCTGTAGAGGTTCACTAACTGATGTATGTAAAGGTTCACTTAATGATGTTTGTAGAGGTTCACTTAATAATGTATTTAGAGCTTACCTACCTGATATCTGTAGAGGTTCTTTAACTTATGTCTGTAGAGGTTCACTAACTGATGTATGTAGAGGTCAATTAATTGATGTTTGTAGAGGTTCATTACCTGATGTCTCTAGAGGTTCACTAACTGATGTCTGTAGAGGTTCAATAACTGATGTCTGTAGAGGTTTACTAACTTATGTATTTAGGCTTCATTAAATATTGTCTGTAGAGGTTAACTGACTGATGTCTGTAGAGGTTCACTAACTGTTGTCTGTAGAGGTTCATTAACTGATGTCTGTAGAGGTTCATTAACTGATGTCTGTATAGGTTCACTAACTGATGTCTGTAGAGGTTCACTAACTGATGTCTGAAGAGGTTCACTAACTGATGTCTTTAGAGGTTCACACTTTATTTAAGTCACTTGCTCAGTGGGGCTAAACATTATATAGAGTGTCAACAAAAGACATTCAGTAATCTTTGAGACGTGACACTGGATTCTTTACTAACTTATACTCTTTAGATCTGGTGACCTGACACTAAAATAAACAAGTAAACAACAACTGATATCATTTAGCCATTGTGACCAACTGACATGAGACAGTGGTCAGATCCTGTTGTGCCAGCTGTTGTCTGGCGGACCTGAACAGAGCTCCTCTGTTACATTCTACCACACATGTCTCTAGTGAACGTTGCGATTTGTTCCATATCGGAGGTATAGTCTCAAACATCGCTCTATCTCCCAAACCGTGGACCAACAAGAGGCGGCGTCGGTGAGGCGATGTCTACCGATCGAGCGACGGTGTTGAACGAGAAGACGATTACGTGACGAAGACAAGATATCCGAGCTCTTACTTTTGAAGAGACTGTCCGACGATGCGTCAGTCATGACGACCACAAGCTTGCTGGACCGTTCCCTGGCTCCGTTGGATGTGCTGAAGAGGTTCTGCTGACGGATGAAGTCCAGCGCTAGGTACGTTTTGGTGCCGCCGCCAAGGAACGGAGCCAACGCCAAACCCTGGGGAAGTAAACAGGTATTTCAATGGTACACTTAGACAGCAACAACATGAGTGCCTAGAGACAATCGTATGCTTGCAGCTGAAGCTCTAACCATACATTTGAACAGTTTTTTTGGCTTTGTCTCTCCTTGTTTCTCCTGGACATTCCTTGTACACGTCATCTCCCAAATTATAATGTTACGCTAATTTGTTTTTAGGATTGTCCACGCATTGATTGCACAAAGTTGGTACCAATATCGCATTTATTAGCTGTTGTGTGTGTGTGTGTGTGCGTGTGTGTGTGTGCGTGCGTGTGTGTGGGTGTGTGTGTGTGTTTGTGCGTGTGTGTGTGCGTGTGTGTGTGCGTGTGTGTGTGCGTGTATGTGTGTGTGTGCGTGCATGTGCGTGTTGATATTTTGCGACCTAATAGATACCAACATAGGCACAGAGACATTGGAAAAATCAGCTGCAGATCGACTACTATGGAGACAGAAAGTGAAAGACGGACTGTCACATTTTGAAAGAAACCGAACACAACGAGCTGTGAAAAAGACACCGGAGAGTGAAACTGCCTCACAACGAGGGAGTATCTGCTTTTGTGTGTATCCTGTGTGGCAAAGGCTGCCATTTCCACATCGGACTTTACAGTCACAGCAGATGCTGTTCCCAAAGCCAGCGGCACATCTCCATACTCCCCCGGGACTGCCTGATGCCATTATCATTATCAAGTAAGCATTGTTTGGTAATTAATGTTGTTGGCCTTTTGTATTCTGTTTTCTCTTTCTCAGTCCAATGCTCCCTCCACAGTTGATTCACTGACTAGGTACAGCCATTCATGCATTTGTAGCGAACAACACTAGGTAAGTAAACGCCTCATCTTGTACGAATGTCTCTCCTCCAACACTGACAATATGTTGGACTGGTGCTCTTTCTACTGTAACTAATTCTATGTGTCTATCCCCCCACCCGCCCCCCCCCAACCCTCACCTTCAGCAACCCTCTGAGTCCTAATTTTGAGTTCATATTTCTTGCAGCAGATGCCGGGGTTATCTGTATGTTGTTGTAAGTTTTCTTTATACTTGTATAATAGTTTAGCAAATAATACCCAGTTGAAATCGTCCTGCTAGGGGTTTTCTTCTTTAGTCCTCATATTCATACAGGGGATAAACAAGAATGGTGACTGTATACCCGCTTCTCCTACCCCAGATAAACAAAAATGGTGACTGTATAACCGCTTTTCTTACCCCAGATAAACAAGAATGGTGACTGTATACCAGCTTGTCTTACCCCAGTTAAACAAGAATGGTGACTGTATACCAGCTTGTCTTACCCCAGATAAACAAGAATGGTGACAGTATACCCACTTTTCTTATCCCACATAAACAAGAATGGTGACTCCGCTTGTCTTACCCCAGATAAACATGAATGGTGAGTGTATACCCGCTTGTCTTACCCCAGATAAACAAGAATGGTGACTGTATACCCGCTTGTATTATCGCAGATAAACGAGAATGGTGACTGTATACCCGCTTGTCTTACCCCAGATATAAAAGAATGGTGACTGTATACCCGCTTGTCTTACCCCAGATAAAAAAGAATGGTGAATGTATACCCGCTTATCTTACCCCAGATAAACAAGAATGGTGACTGTATACCCGCTTGTATTATCGCAGATAAACGAGAATGGTGACTGTATACCCGCTTGTCTTACCCCAGATAAACAAGAATGGTGACTGTATACCCACTTGTCTTTCCCCAGATAAACAAGAATGGTGACTGTATACCCACTTGTCTTACCCCAGATAAACAAGACTGGTGACTGTATACCAGCTTGTCTTACCCAAGATAAACAAGAATGGTGACTGTATATACGCTTTTCTCACCCCAGATAAACAAGAATAGTGACTGTATACTCGCTTGTCTTACCCCAGATAAACAAGAATGGTGACTGTATACCCGCTTGTCTTACCCCAGATAAACAAGAATGATGACAGCATATAAGCTTCTCTTACCTCAGATAAACAAGAATGGTGACTGTATACCCGCTTGTCTTACCCCAGATAAACAAGAATGGTGACTGTATACCCGCTTGTCTTACCCCAGGTAAACAAGAATGGTGACTGTATACCCCCTTCTCCTACCCCAGATAAACAGGAATGGTGACTGTATACCTGCTTCTCCTACCCCAGATAAACAAGAATGGTGACTGTATACCCGCTTCTCCCACCCCAGATAATCAAGAATGGTGACTGTATACCCGCTTGTCTTACCCCAGATAAACAAGAATAGTGTTTGTATACCCGCTTGTCTTACCCCAGATAAACAAGAATAGTGACTGTATACCCGCTTGTCTTACCCCAGATAAACAAGAATGGTGACAGTATAAACGCTTCTCTTACCACAGATAAACAAGAATGTTGACTGTATATACGCTTGTCTTACCCCAGATAAACAAGAATGGTGACAGTATAAACGCTTCTCTTACCACAGATAAACAAGAATGGTGACTGTATACCCGCTTGTCTTAGCCCAGATAAACAATAATGGTGACTGTATACCCGCTTGTCTTACCCCAGGTAAACAAGAATGATGACTGTATACCCGCTTCTCCTTCCCCAGATAAACAAGAATGGGGACTGTATACCCACTTGTCCTACCCCAGATAAACAAGCATGGTGACAGTATACCCGCTTCTCTTACCCCAGATAAACAAGAATGCTGACAGTATATACGCTTGTCTCACCCTAGATAAACAAGAATGGTGACTGTATACCCGCTTGTCTTACCCCAGATAAATAAGAATGGTGACTGTCTACCAGCTTGTCTTACCCCAGATACATAAGAATAGTGACTGTATACCCGCTTGTCTTACCCCAGATAAAAAGAAATGGGGACTGTATACCCGCTTGTCTTACCCCAGATAAATAAGAATGGTGACTGTATGACCGCTTGTCTTACCCCAGATAAATAAGAATGGTGACGGTATACCCGCTTCTCTTACCCCAGATAAACAAGACTGGTGACTGTATACCAGCTTGTCTTTCCAAAGATAAACAAGAATGGTGACTGTATATACGCTTTTATCACCCCAGATAAACAAGAATGGTGACTGTATACCTGCTTGTCTTACCCCAGATAAACAGGAATGGTGACAGTATACCCGCTTGTCTTACCCCAGATAAACAAGAATGGTGACTGTATACCCGCTTGTCTTACCCCAGATAAACAAAAGAATGGTGACTGTACACCCGCTTGTCTTACCCCAGATAAACAAGAATTGGGACTGTATACCCGCTTGTCTTACCCCCAGAGAAACAAGAATAGTGACTGTATACCCGCTTTTTTTACCCCAGATAAACAAGAATGGTTACTGTATACCCGCTTGTCTTACCCCAGATAAACAAGAATGTTGACTGTATATACGCTTCTCTTACCACAGATAAACAAGAATGTTGACTGTATAGCCGCATGTCTTACCACAGATAAACAAGAATGGTGACTGTATATACGCTTCTCTTACCACAGATAAACAAGAATGGTGACTGTATACCCGCTTCTCTTACCCCAGATAAACAAGAATGGTAACTGTATACCCGCTTGTCTCACCACAGATAAACAAGAATGGTGACAGTTTATACGCATCTGAGATAAAACCTGGAACCAGTTTGTTGTGCCTACAGATGTTCTTACAGCATATTCGGCTGTGTGATACAGAGTCCTGGTGTTGTCCAGCCATTGTCCATCTAGACCAAACCCTTCGAGCACTGACCATAGTCTCTCTCGGTTTACTCACTCGTAAGATTTTTCTTCATTAATAAAAGCCCCAATAAGTTCGTTGCTATATTTTATAGTTTTCTCACAGATCTGTCTCAATGTGCCCGGCTCACTAGCGTAGTTGGTTAGACCTGACTTCGCAGCGACATGGTGTCGAACTCCTTGTGGTCCAGATTCACTCCCCGGGGTAGGCAAAAAAGCCACATTTCTCAAAGATTGACGGTATCTGTCATGGAAACTAGGCCGAAGGATTGCGATATCCACAGTACCGGGCCAAAGGGTTAACAACTCATGGTTTCTGGATATTAAAAAAAAAAAAAAAAAGTCAGTCTTAATGTAAAAAATAGCATCAGTGCAAACACTTCCTTTTTTTGAAGCAAAACTGCTGCTCTTGTATTTCCTCAGTGGCACGATCAGAGATCTTGAATACTCTTCCGCTATCCTCCTCTCATGCCATGACTGGTTAAGGATTTTACTTCCACGTTCTGCATGCTTAGATGGCTTCGATCGGATGTTATCAATTCCTGTAACTTTATTGTTGGGCCTTTTGTTGATCGCTTTCTACAATCCGACAGTCAATGATCTTAATATCATGTTTTATAAAAATGAAATTCACAATTCCCTCTTTCTTTCGCCCATAACCACGAATGCTCTTTCTTTTGCTCTGAACCACGAATGCTCTTTCTTTTGCTCTGAACCACGAAGGCTCTTTCTTTTGCCCGGAACCACGCATGCTCTTTCTTTTGCCCTAAACCACGAATGCTCTTTCTTTTGCTCTAAACCACGAATGCCCTTTCTTTTGCTCTGAACCACGAATGCTCTTCTTTTGCCCTAAACCACGAATGCTCTTTCCTTTGCCTGGAACTACGAATGTTCTTTCTTCTGCCCTGAACCACAAATGCTCTTTCTTTTGCCCTGAACCACGAATGCTCTTTTTTTTTGCTCTGAATACGAATGCTCTTTCTTTTGCTCTGAACCACGAATGCTCTTCTTGTGCCCTGAACCACGAAGGCTCTTTCTTTTGCCCGTAACCACGAATGCTCTTTCTTTTGCCCGTAACCACGAATGCTCTTTCTTTTGCCCGGAACCACGAATGCTCTTTCTTCTGCCCTGAACCACGAATGCTCTTTCTTTTGCCCTGAACCACGAATGCTCTTTCTTTTGCTCTGAACCACGAATGCTCTTTCTTTTGCCCTGAACCACGAATGATTTTTGTTTCATGTTATTACACCAATTTGATTTTGATTTTCTCCTCTTTATAACTGGAGCATATGCGTTTTAAACAGTAGGACATTATCGTCAGCAAATATCAGTTCAATCAAAATCCTGATTTCATGAGATGAACTCCTTGCTTAAGTAAGGAGTTCCTCTAAACAGCTCACTTGGCCTGTCCTAAAAACATTTATAGCTTCACAATTTATCCAAAAGTAGCACTTTTAAATCATTTTTAACAACACAAAGTAAAACATTTGGTGTTGTTGTTAACACCGCCCTCTTGGATAGTCTTGTCAACAGCCAAATGTCATATAAGGAATTACAACAGAGTGGATATCATAACGAAATTATTCTAGCAAATCGTTGCTAGGAGACTAAATAGGACTGATTAGTGTCATTGAATATATCTCATGATTTACCACCATCTTTGACACATTGAATACAACAAACTTCTTACCAAACTGAGTCCAGCATGGTTAGAGTAAGTCTTAAAGTCAAAAACCCTCTGAACTCTGTCGCTGTAGGAGATTGCCGCAAACCGGACATCTTTGTCGCCAATCTGGAAATGTTCGGTCAGTCTGGTGGCAAACTGCTTGGCCAGGCCAAAATCCCTTTCACTCACGCTGCCGGAGGTGTCGATGACAAACAGGATATCAGCTCTCGCTGGACATTTGGCCACTGTCGCAGAGATCAGAGAACGCATTAGAACAGGACGGGTGCCAACATGAGCTGCAATCTTAACTTGTGGAACAAATATGACATGTAATGTTTTCATTTCTAGAGTTGTTCATCATTTTCCAGCCAGTTCTGTCACGAGCGTCGGCTCTGTGGCTCAGTCGATGCCAACGCTTCGTAATGCCGGAATGCCGGGTTCGATCCCAGCTGCGGGCCATGCGCCGTGCGTTAGTTTCGACAGTGGTATCAAGAAAGCCGACCGCCCAGGGAGCAATGACAAACTTCTTTTCTTCTTTTGTCAAAATCTGCTTGTGCCGCTAGGCGTCGCAGTCTATCAGATGATCGGCAACCGAGCCAGGGCGCGCTCAGTCGCTTCATATGCCGTGATGTTATGAAGTCTCAAGTTGTCCGTGGCTCCTTCAATCCATCTTCTTCTTGGTCTTCCGCTGCCTCTTGGTGTTTCGATTTTCATGTTGTATGCTCTTGATGCTGGCATCGTTGGTTCCATTCTCACTAGAATGACAAACTACTGGACGTAAATTTGCCTGGAAAAACCACACAACAGCCAGGGGCTGTTGGGATTGGTTCTGCAACGTCCAGTTAAGGATATGCAACTAACCTCACGAGCTATAGTTTTTCACTCATAGGACAAATGTTTCTATTTATTTGGATTTTCATCGTCATCGAGAAGTGTCATACAGGCACGAATTTGCTTTTGTAGTTTCCATCTCCCATGATCGCCATGGTCTGAGATCAAATCTGTGTTCTTGTCCCATAACCAATCGTTCCAACTATCTATGCACTCCGCTCAACTCCCCTTTACTAATCGAATTGTTAGTTGTCAATAAATGTCCAAGTTTTGATCTCATTCCAAGCAGACATAAAACACTCTATTCCATTCGATATGTAAAGAAAAAAGATCAAACTTGCTTCTCGTTCAACTGTCTAATCGCCCTGTAATACTTAGGAGGGTTTTCTTTGCTGTTTTATTTGAATTGGTTTTTCCTGTGGCGTGCAATTACACCTGAATCTGGCAAGACAGATCAAGTTCGTACGTGCTCGATCTACCCACATCCTCTGTGACTTATCTCACATGGACCCGTTCACCCAATGGAACTGGCTCGTGTCAAGTGTGTTTTGTCTTGCACTTGAATTTGTGTGTGATGTTATATCTGACTTCATGTGTGAGAAACGGCAATATATTCAATACAACCTTAGAATTGAGATGCTAGTACATACACTCACCCACACACCTATACACTCCACCAACATCACCCCCCCATACACGCATATACACGCACGCGCGCACACACACATACACACACACACACAAGTAAACATGAGTTGAGTAAATAGGAGACAACTCACCCTCTCCTTTCTCGTGTCCGTGGTCTTCATAACCAGCTGTTGGAGTGAACACAAACATGTTGATTGGGGACATTGCCAATTGTTTAGTTTGTTGTATTGTCTTGTCTGCTGTACTGTATAGTTTTCTGAATTGTCTAGATTGGTGAACTGTCCAGTTTAGTGAACTGTTTTATTTTCTGAAATGTCCTGTTTGTTGAACTGTCCAGTGTGGCCCAGTTTGATCAGTTGTCCAATTTTTGTGAACCGTACTGCGTAACGTATAGTGGCCCCAGCATAATGTCCACGGTATAGTGTCCAGCGTATAGTGTCCATCATATAGTGTCCAGCGTATAGTGCCCATCATATGGTGTCCACCGTATAGTGCCCATCGTATAGTGTCCACCGTATAGTGTCCACCATATAGTGTCCATCATATAGTGTCCACCGTATAGTGTCCATCATATAGTGTCCACCATATAGTGTCCATCATATAGTGTCCTTCATATGGGGCCACAGCATAGTATCCACCTCATAAAAGCCACCGCATAATGGCCAACCCATAGTGACCACGACATACTGTCAACCCATAGTGACCACGACATACTGTCAACCGCATTGTGTCCACCATATGGTGTCCACCGTATAGTAGCCACTGTAAAGTAACTATAGCATTATGTTTAACGTATAATTTCTAACTTATAGTGACCACAGCATATTGTGCAGCAGATAGCAGTCATCGTATTGTGTCCACCGTAAAGTGGCCACTGTTTAGTGTTTATCATATAGTGGACACTGTAAAGTGTCTAACGAGTGGTCACAGCATAGTAGCCACCGTATTGTGTGCACCGTATAGTAGCTATCATATTGTATCCACAGTATTGTGGTCAATTTTAGTCTTCACCGTACAGTGGCCACCGTATAGTAGCTATCATATTGTATCCACAGTATAGTGGCGAATTGTAGTCTTCACCGTACAGTGGCCACCGTATAGTAGCTATCATATTGTATCCACAGTATAGTGGCGAATTGTAGTCTTCACCGTACAGTGGCCACCGTACAGTACCACCGATTAGTTTCCGCCGTATTGTGTCCAACGTATAGTAGCCAGCTTATAGTAATCATCCTATAGTGTCCACTGTTCAGTGACCACCTTATAGTAGCCACTGTATAGTGTCTACTGTATAAAAGCCACCGTATAGTTTCCACCGTTTTAGCCACCGTATAGTAGTCACCGTATAGTGTCCATCGTATATAAGCCATCATGGTGTATCCACCGTATCTAGTGTCCATCGTACGTCGTATTGTGTCTATCGTAAAGTGGCTACTTTATTGTGAATCAATGGAACTTTTACCACGCCTTTAGTCGTATTAAGATAACATAGCAAGACCTTTGTTTAATAGACTAATCGACACACGTGGGTGATGAGATCGATATCAAGCTGACCACCTTTACTTCCCAGCCATGTATCTAGTTCTTATTTAAGGTTGTGTAGACATGAAAGGCAATGTCATTAGGAAAAAGTATCCGGCTCTATCAGGAACTGTACCCACCACCTTCTGATCCATAGGCGTGCATCTATCCACTCCACCAGGGCAGCTCCCCCACCGTGCAGAGGCCATCATAAACGGGCAGGACCGGTGTGTAACAAGGCTTCCATTACCTTCTCAAAGTTGTGTCTAGCGGTCTGTACAAGAGAATACTTACACTTCCACCAGCCGAAGGGGTCTACGATGAAGCCAAGTGTTGATCCGCCTATATTGAAGCTGGTGTCCACAAACTTGTTGATGTTTGTGACGCCCCAGTCAAACATGTTTCCGATAATCGAAGTGCCCAGGTCAAAAATACCTTGAAAAATCCCTCCAATAGTATCTGGCGAATAAACGAGTTTAGATTTTTGTGTGGATACATTGATAAACAAAATTAGACCTCACATGATGCACGGAAACACACAACTTTAGACTTCACTTGATACACGGACATGTACAACCTAAAGCCTGGCGGGAAACATGGTCATACACAAGCTTGAGTCTGGCGGGATAAATGGACATACACAACCTAAAGCCTGGCGGGACACATGGACATTCACAAGCTTAAGTCTGGCTGGATACATGGACATTCACAAGCTTAAGTCTGGCGGGATACATGGTCATCTTCTTCTCTTCTTCACTTCCTCTTTTACCGCTGTGGGTGTCAAGGGAGATATAAGGTTCTGTTTCTAGCTCTTCTGGCCGCCTCGACCATAGGCACATCGTGCTGTTGTAGAGTTTCTCTGATGTTATTCTTCCAATTTTTTCTTGGTCTACCTCGTGCTCTACGTCCTTCTTCTCTTTCCATGTATGCTTTGTATAAAGGTGTCACAGGGCATTCTCTCTAAGTGGGCGAACCATTTCACTTGCTGTCTTCGTATGTAATCCAAAATTGGTTCTGTGCCGACTTTTTCTCTTATGATCTCATTTCTGATCTTATCTCTTATGGTCACTCCTACAGCCCTTCTCAGACATCTCATTTCCATGGTTACTAATTTTCTTTTTTGGTGTTTTGTAAATGACTATGTCTGGCACTGATAGCACAGAGTTTCGATAAATATGCTTTGAATAAGATGTCTCTTTGTGCTGATTGGGATTGTCTTATGCTGTAAGAGGGGAGCTAGCTGTCCTAATACTTGGTTTGCTTTACTGCATCTAATGTCAATTTCTTTATACAATTTCTTATCTTCGGTAAATGTAGTTCCCAGATATTTAAACTCAGATGCCTGTTTAATGCCTCTGTATTCTATTGCTATGTTTAGATCTGTCTTCTTTTTTCCTATTGACATTACTTCTGTCTTTTCAGTGTTGATTCTCATATTATTTGTTTTATATTCTTCATTCATAGATGTTAGATGTTGTTGCAATTTCATATACATGGATATACACGAGCTTAAGTCTGGCGCGAGACATGGGCACACACAACCTTAAGCCTGGCTAAATACATGGGCATACAAAACCTAAAGCCTGGCGGGATACATGGGCATACAAAACCTAAAGCCTGGCGGGATACATGGACATACACAACCTAAAGCCTGGCGGGATACATGGAATTAAACAACCCAAAGCCTGGCGGGATCCATGGATATAGAAAGCCTAAAGCCTGGCGGGATACATGGACTTGCACAACCTAAAGCCTGGCGGGATACATGGACATACAAAACCTAAAGCCTGGCGGGATACATGGACTTACAAAACCTAAAGCCTGGCAGGATACATGGACATACACCAGCTTAAGTCTGGCGGGAAAAATGGACATATAAATCCTAAAGCCTGGCGGGATAGACGGATATACACAATCTAAAGCCTGGCGGGATACACGGACATAACCAAGCTTAAGTCTGGCGGGATACATGGACATACACAAGCTTAGGTCTGGTTTGATACATGGACATGCAGAAGCTTAAGACTGGCGGAATACATGGACATGCACAAGCTCAAGCCTGGCGTGATACATGGACATACACAAGCTTAAGTCTTGCAGGAGACATGGACATACACAAACTTAAGACTGGCTGGATACATGGACATACACAAGCTAAAGCCTAGCGGGATACATGGACATACACAAGCTAAAGCCTGGCGGGATACATGGACATACACAACCTAAAGCCTGGCGGGATACATGG